GTGTAATCCATACTGAAGGCTGTGGTCTTTGATCTTCATCAGTAAATGCTTCAAGTCCTCTTCACTTTCAGCAAGCAAGGTTGTGTCATCTCCATAACACAGGTTAATACACAGGAATCAAATCAACTACATCTGTGGAAAGACGATGGAAAAGCTCAATATCATCAATCAGAACAAGACCAGGGGCCGACTGCGGATAAAGTTGAAACTGAATAAAGTTAGAACAAGTCCACGAGAGGCAAAGTACAGCCTTGAGTATATTCCCACCTGAAGTTAGAGACCACCTCAAGAATAGGTTTGACACATTGAACACTAATGACTGAAGACCAGACGAGTTGTGCAGGGACATCAAGGACATCATACATGAAGAAAGCAAGAGGTCATTAAAAAGACAAGAGAAAGAAAAAACCTAAATGGGTATCAGAAGAGACTCTGAAACTTGCTCTTGAATGTCGAATAGCTAAAGCAAAAGGAAAAAATGATGGAAGAACTGAACAGAAGTTTTCAAAGGGCAGCTCAGGAAGACAAAGTGAAGTATTACAATGACATGTGCAAAGACCTGGAGATAGAAAACCAAAAGGGAAGAACACGCTCAACATTTCTCAAACTGAAAGAACTGAAGAAAATTCAAGCCTCAAGTTGCAGTACTATAGAATTCTATGGGGAAAATATCAAACGACGGAGGAAGCATCAAAAGAAGATGGAAGGAATATACAGAGTCACTATTCCAAAAAGAATTGGTCAGTGTTCAATGATTTCAGGAGGTAGCATATGATCAGGAACCAATGGTACTGAAGGAAGAAGTCCAAGCTGCACTGAAGACATTGGCGAAAACAAGGCTCCAGGAATTGAGGGAGTACCAAGTGAGATGTTTCAACAAATGGATGCAGCACTGGAAGTGCTCACTCGTCTATGCCAAGAAATTTGGAAGACAGCTACCTGGCCAGCTGACTGGAAGAGATCCATATTTATGCCTATTCCCACGAAAGGTTATCCAACCGAATGTGGAAATTATTGAACAATATCAATATCACATGCAAGCAGAATTTTGCTGAAGATCATTACTAAAGTGGCTGCAACAGTATATTGACAGGGAACTGCCAGAAATTCAAGCTGGATTTAGAAGAGGATGCGGAACCTGGGATATCATTGCTGATGTCAGATGGATACTGGCTGAAAGTAGAGAATACCAGAAAGATGTTTACCTGTGTTTTATTGACTATGCAAAGGCATTCGACTGTGTGGATCGTAACAAATTATGGATAACATTGCAGAGAATGGGAATTCTGGAACACTTAATTGTACTTACGAGGAATCTGTATATGGATCAAGAGGCAGTTGTTTGAACAGAATAAGGGAATACTGCATGGTTTAATAATGTCAGGAAAGGTGTGCGTCAGGCTTGTATCCTTTCACCATACCTATTCAATCTGTATGCTGAGCAAATAATCCGAGAAGCTGAGCTATATGAAGAAGAATGGGGCATCAGGATTAGAGGAAGACTCATTAACAACCCACAGTATGCAGATGACACAACAAAGACGATATACAGATGCACAAATTCCAGTAATGCCACTTTCAAGTTGTCGTAAATCTTAGAGAGTAGTGACTTCATTGGAAAACTTTAGAAGTGCCTTTAAGGTGAAATCCTGTGTTAATAGCCGGCTTGTCAGCTGCGCAATTTAAAATCCATGAGTTTCTGTACCTTCAGTGATGTATCTGTTAACTGTCTTGGAGCCCTAATTGTTCACTGTGTCTGTCTGTGTACTGTTAATATGTTCAGTTTTTAGAAGGCATGCTTAGAAATAATGTAATAATTTCCAAGGAAATGATACCGGTTGCTTTTTTTTTTTAACTAATGGGGCTCCTTTGACATCAGATGCCGTTCATTAAGAGTCCCAATGGAAATTAAGTTATTAACTCTTAGACAGATGCACTTTCCAGTGACCTTAAAATTATTTCAACATAAGTGAGCCTTTATAAAACTGTGCATTACAAAATCGTTTTCTATTTAGTAGTAGAAATATGAAATTCCTATAACTACCTTGAGTTAATAAATTCCTCATCTTTTGTTAAGGATCTCTTTATGTTTCTATTCTGTGGAGAAAGAACAACACATTTTAAGGTTTATACTTCTGAAGGTCTAGATTTTTAACTACCAAGAGATGGAGGTTTCTCCCAATAATACTTATGCTTAACACTTTGAAATGTTCAGTTAATTATTAGCTCTTTATTTGGAAAAGTGGCTTTAGTATCAAGTACAGTTATGTGAAAGTTTGGTTTTAGCATCAATGGCAGAGAAGGTTAGTTGCCTACGTAATATCCATTCTTCTGTATTAGTAGAATCTAATTTTGTTTGGCATGGCTGTGTGCCCAGTTAAAAATGTATACTTTCCCAGACTCTGGGCAGGTAAAGTTGACTTCCGACCCAGCTTAGGCCAGTGACATAGTAGAAACCTAACGGCTGGGGCTTTCTTGAAAGCTACTTTTTCTCAGTGGAATGTTTGCCCTTCGTCTTTGCGACATCCATTCTGCCTGGAAGGAGCAAAAGAGGCCAGAACTAGGAAACACACACCCACACACAGCTGTATTTCTGCATCTATATATTTTGAAAACCCCAGTTCACACAAAATGCCTCTAAATCCAATCAAACATCACAGAGTCCTTTTTAGTTTTATCCATGTCCAAATGTGTAACTCCCTTTCTGACAGTGAGAAACCTTGATCCCATTGTCTTCACTATAGTTATTAATCTGTATGTTGCTGATCTTCCATCGTTGCTACTCATGCCCTGTGTGGCTCTCCTCCTCGAGTCATTTGGGCTCCCACACCCCTTGCTGAGCTGCGTGTCCATGGGGATGCCTGCTTTACCTTGCTTAGATGCCAACATCCTGCATCAGGCCGACCCCTCCTCCCCTCTTCATCCACAAGAACACTCTCCTGTACAAATGACTTCAGTTCACTCAGGCTCCGACGTCCTGTGCCTGATTACCCCCACCACTGATACAAATATCCTCTTCACTCCTTGGTGTTCAACACCCCATGCACGACTACCTTCATCAGCCTTCTCAGGCGCCACCCTCTCCTCAGTGTGGACATCAAACTCTTCTCACACCAGTCAGGTTTTGACATCTCTAGACACTGCAGCTCTCCATCCACTTTGGTATAGATGTCTACCTCGCTTAGCCCCACCTAATGGCTTTTGGACAGATTATCTAGGAAGAGAAGAAAAGGCCCATTGTTTTAATTTTCAGTTCTCTAAACAACAATGTAGTTGAGCACCTTTTTATGTGTAATTTGTATTTTCTGTGGATTCCCTGTTTATATCGTCCATTTTACTACTAGTTTTTCTTTTTATTATTGTTAGTCTAATATATGTATACACATAGGAATATATGTTTGGTTACGTGTGTTGCAAATATTTTCTCCCAATATGTGGCTTGCATTTTAATATATTTTAATTGTATCTTCTGATGCACAAATACTGTATTATTTTTATTTGTATGTAGTAGAATTTATCAATCTTTTTATAGTTTGTGTTTTTTTGTATCTCATTTAAGCAATTCTTTCTTACTCTGCATTTATTCATTCATTCATTCTCTCCTGTATTTTCATCTAAACGTTTTTAAGGTTTGCTTTTTCACATTTAGCTTTTAATCTAGTTGGAATTGATTTTAGTATATTGTATGAGCTAGAG